CCCTGGATTAATAAAAAAAAATTTCATTATATAGAATTACTACATGTCAAACACTTCTATAACTCGATGTATGGATCAGCTAAAACACATTTAGTATAGAAGATACGGAAATGGAAGTACAACACAATACCACAATTTGCTACAAAACCAAAACATTAACATAAACAAATCGAATCATGTTCTTAAAATGTTTCGTCAGATCAAGTCTTTCATTTGGATGTCATGCATGGCTTCAAAGTCGTTCAGAAATGTCGACACTCTTAGCACAACCGCTTTCTCAGAATAATGATTCCAAATGGCTTTGAGCGTAGGAGACCTGTAAATCAGAGAGAGTAACACCATTTTTCAGATCTTGCGAACTGATGCTACAGAAGCACAAAGAAATGTACCAAATAACAGAAATCTCATTTGGTGGCATTAAAAAGCAGTAACAACTAAAATGGATAGCACATTGTTATGGTCCGGTTCCTTGTAAACACGGTGATAGTCCAAGGTAGAACCAATAAAGAAGAACTCGAACACAGATATGGAATAACACAGATATATTACAAACAGGAATATATACAGAGAAGTAGAAAGTGTTAGTATGAACAATCAGGTTTAGTAGAGAGAACAATGTAGTCTCGACCAGTATTACTATTCCAATGTCTTGCAGTAATTGTCTGAACGCGACTCTGTTTCGGACTGCCTTTGACTCGACTCTTGACTTGAACTATTGACAATATTCAGTCACCCCCCCACGAGGGTGTCATGTGGCACAAGGCCTTTTTAACGTGGGCATTCCCGAGCCATTAGGCTCGGCCAAAAAATAGCCCATTTGAACCCGTATAAATGGGTTCAGGGCCGGTTTTACCTCCCCGAAGGAGACTCCGCCCTTCGGCGTAGCCTCCTTCGGGTTCCTCCCGCCCGTGGGAAGGGAGTACAACCGTGCAGTCGTTCAAAACTTGAACTACTGACAATATTCAGTCACCCCCCCACGAGGGTGTCATGTGGCACAAGGCCTTTTTAACGTGGGCATTCCTGGAGCCATTAGGCCCGGCAAAAAATAGCCCGTTTGAACCCGTATAAACGGGTTCAGGGCCGGTTTTACCTCCCGAAGGAGACTCCGCCCTTCGGCGTAGCCTCCTTCGGGTTCCTCCCGCCCGTGGGAAGGGAGTACAACCGTGCAGTCGTTCAAAACTTGAACTACTGACAATATTCAGTCACCCCCCCACGAGGGTGTCATGTGGCACAAGGCCTTTTTAACGTGGGCATTCCCGAGCCATTAGGCCCGGCCAAAAAATAGCCCGTTTGAACCCGTATAAACGGGTTCAGGGCCGGTTTTACCTCCCCGAAGGAGACTCCGCCCTTCGGCGTAGCCTCCTTCGGGTTCCTCCCGCCCGTGGGAAGGGAGTACAACCGTGCAGTCGTTCAAAACTTGAACTACTGACTATATTTAGTCGTCCCCCCACGAGGGCGTCATGTGGCACAAGGCCTTTTTAACGTGGGTATTTCCGAGCCATTAGGCCCGGCCAAAAAATAGCCCGTTTGAACCCGTATAAACGGGTTCTGGGCCGGTTTTACCTCCCCGAAGGAGACTCCGCCCTTCGGCGTAGCCTCCTTCGGGTTCCTCTCGCCCGTAGGAAGAGAGTACAACCGTGCAGTCAGTTCAGAGGTGAACGACTGACGATATTCAGTCACCCCCCACGAGGGTGTCATGTGGCACAAGGCCTTTTTAACGTGGGCATTCCCGAGCCATTAGGCTCGGCCAAAAAATAGCCCATTTGAACCCGTATAAAACGGGTTCAGGGCCGGTTTTACCTCCCCGAAGGAGACTCCGCCCTTCGGCGTGGCCTCCTTCGGGTTCCTCCCGCCCGTAGGAAGAGAGTTGAACCGAACAGTCAGTTCAGAGGTGAACGACTGACAATATTCAGTCACCCCCCCACGAGGGTGTCGTGGCACAAGGCCTTTTTAACGTGGGCATTCCCAAGCCATTAGGCTCGGCCAAAAAAATAGCCCATTTGAACCCGCATAAACGGGTTCTGGGCCGAGTTTAACCTCCCGAAGGAGACTCCGCCCTTCGGCGTAGCCTCCTTCGGGTTCCTCCTGCCCGTAGGGAAGAGAGTTGAACCGAACAGTCAGTTCAGAGGTGAACGACTGACAATATTCAGTCACCCCCCCACGAGGGTGTCATGTGGCACAAGGCCTTTTTAACGTGGGAATTCCCGAGCCATTAGGCCCGGCCAAAAAATAGCCCATTTGAACCCGTATAAACGGGTTCAGGGCCGGTTTTACCTCCCCGAAGGAGACTCCGCCCTTCGGCGTAGCCTCCTTCGGGTTCCTCTCCGTCCGTAGACAGAGAGTTGAACCGAACCGTCGCTCAGAAAGTGAACGACTGACGATATTGAGTCTCCCCCCCACTGGGGCAACATGTGACACAAGGTCGGTTTTTTATTGTGGGATTCCCGAGCCCGTGGGCTCGGCCCAAAATATGCCCGTTTGAACCCGCATCAACGGGTTCAGGGCCGAGTTTTACCTCCCCGAAGGAGACTCCGCCCTTCGGCGTAGCCTCCTTCGGGTTCCTCTCCGTCCGGAGACAGAGAGTTGAACCGAACCGTCGCTCAGAAAGTGAACGACTGACAATATTCAGTCACCCCCCCACGAGGGTGTCATGTGGCACAAGGCCTTTTTAACGTGGGTATTCCCGAGCCATTAGGCTCGGCCAAAAATAGCCCATTTGAACCCGTATGAACGGGTTCTGGGCCGGTTTTACCTCCCCGAAGGAGACTCCGCCCTTCGGCGTAGCCTCCTTCGGGTTCCTCTCGCCCGTAGGAAGAGAGTTGAACCGAACAGTCGCTCAGAAAGTACTGGGTCGACTGACAATATTCAGTCACCCCCCACGAGGGTGTCATGTGGCACAAGGCCTTTTTAACGTGGGAATTCCCGAGCCATTAGGCTCGGCCAAAAAATAGCCCATTTGAACCCGTATAAACGGGTTCTGGGCCGATTTAACCTCCCGAAGGAGACTCCGCCCTTCGGCGTAGCCTCCTTCGGGTTCCTCTCGCCCATAGGAAGAGAGTTGAACCGAACAGTCGCTCAGAAAGTACTGGGTCGACTGACAATATTCAGTCACCCCCACGAGGGTGTCATGTGGCACAAGGCCTTTTTAACGTGGGCATTCCCTGGAGCCATTAGGCTCGGCCAAAAAATAGCCCATTTGAACCCGCATAAACGGGTTCTGGGCCGGTTTAACCTCCCGAAGGAGACTCCGCCCTTCGGCGTAGCCTCCTTCGGGTTCCTCTCGCCCGTAGGAAGAGAGTTGAACCGAACAGTCGCTCAGAAAGTACTGGGTCGACTGACTCCTTGCCTACTCCTGAGGCGCAGTATTTATTAAGTATGGAATAATCCATTATTATTATTATGGGTAAAATCCCATAACACACATATAAAGAGAAAACAATGACATAATCAATATGTTGACGTTCCACACTACTTCAAACAGAAGGTTAGAAAGGAAACTGCAATCAATAACTGGGCATGACAAGACTACATTTCTGAAAAAGAGTTTTAAGAGAATGATTTTATAAATATCACCAGAAAAGAGAAATGGCTGCTCGGTCAATGAATGTCGAATTTTTCCTTATAAGGAAATGATTTATACCATCTAAGTCAATTCATAATACTCGTATAATGTCGAGAAAAACGGCAAATGGATACAGTAATCCAACATGCTTGTTCCCTTAAGAAAATGCGAAACACGTATTTTGTATATAATCTTATAACCGGTCATGAGTTGTTATATCTGTTTCAGGCGAGAGTTTGGTCTGAGAACCGGGAAGCGATCGGTAGGATTCTAGATCGATTTTCGAAGTAGTTGATAATGTCCGGAGATTTTATCTATATTCTAATGAATATAGATAAAAGTTTTATCAGTATTTTTTTTCCATATAAGACGTATGTTTCATTAGCTGAAACAAATACACATTTTAAATACAGGTATTTTGGATGACAAAAATGACATAGAATACCAAATATAGTTATTATACAACTCATATACAAGATGTAAAACATATTATTTAAGATTTGCATATTACATCCATGAGATGATCATCACAATGAGGTGAACATGCACGATCCCGCTCTCTCAGTTCAAACACAGTTGGCATTGCCTGTCTCAGGTAGGATCATCTTTCGAGATTTTGCCTGTAGCTTTCCAAAATGCTGTCGGAATTTCCTTTGGGCTGTAACGATGGATCTTTGGCTCGTGAAGTATGTTTCAAGTACGTATGCAATTTCCATTGGAGTCCACGACATTACGAGGGTTCAACGTCAGCAAAAGAGACATCATATACATGTAAGAAATAACAAAATCTCAGATGATATATTGAACTCTTGTATATCTGTTATGTAATAAATATAATTGGTACTCTGTATCATTTTAATAATCTAAGATACTTGCATTCAAAACGTGTCCCATCATTATGGGTCGCCCTATATATAGCTCAGATAGATTGAATGCAATATATTGTATATCACACTCATCTCATTGTCGACTTTGGTCAAACATCCATCACAAACTTCGTAGCTTCGGCAGATGCTCTATTCTCAGGCTTAAAGACTATTCGTTGGTCGATTTATGCCCATGCCATGCGTCAATAACTCCTATTTTCCATGAAGGAGGTTACAGAGTATGATTTTGTAAATAATTTCCTGTTACTGCACCAACAGGGTCCTTTTCTATGCAATTGTTGTTGTTCTTGTTAGCGGCATATTAATTACTATGTGATAAAAGTGAAATCTAAATATTTTGTACGCAATTTTATTTTATTTTTGAGATATTAATAGTTTAGTAATACAGTCTTTATTAATTGACTCATAGCTGGTGGGGGCAGAAGTGGATTCAAACCTTTCCTAAGGATATATGGTCGTAAATGACTATCACGAACCTAACTGTAACTGAGACTCAGCTCTTCGATTAAAAATTCCGAGCCATTATCCATTACACCACCTGAAAATCCAAGATTACAGCACTTGATATTCCCAAGCCGTCTCCCATCTAGATACTGACCAAGTTCGATATTGCTTAACTTCGATAATCATACGGGAACTGGTGTTTCATTTTGATGAGGCCGTAAGTCTGGTGGTTGTTATTTTTGGCAGATCGCCATAGGGTTTGACATTGGTTGTATGGTGATGCCATTTGTTATTTTGTTCTGCTCGAAGGATCTTTGTATGCACCATCTAGCTTCTTACTAACATTGTATATGCTACTGCTGTTAATGCTGCTAAACCTCATGCCATGAAAGCATTGAGCCCACGAGAGCCATCTGGTCCCTCCAGCTCTCACGGTCTTGACAGAACGTAGAAACATCCTCCAGCGGTAGATTAATCTGCTGAAGGACAGGGGGACGAGGTCCTTCCAGCGACAGCGTCGTCTGCTGCGATGTTGTCGCCAATTTGCAGATGAAGGACCGAACAAGTAGATGACTCTGGTCATCAGGATATGGCCAAGCCAACGAACACCGTGGTGAGCGATGGTGCGTAGGATGTGCAACTGGCTAGCTCGACGGTCGAGTTCGTCAGTAGACACAAGACTGGATCAGTGCACCCCCTTTTATGGTCCTGAAGGCGTGAGACTCAAAAATTGATTGATTTGTTTTCCACGACTTATCAACACTCTTCAGGTTATTTAAAGCCATAAAAATATTTATAGATTGTTAGAATTTTTTGGAGATATTAATGATTTACTGTTGCAAGTCTTACTAATTGACACATAGGTGGATAGAGAAGAGAAATTTAATAAGAGTAGATAGGATCGCTTATTGTCCAGTTCACACTGCTTCCCTGTCTTCGAGGTTTATGACTTGTTTGCTGTTTAGAATTGGGTTTCTAGTTCCTTCTAAAGTCGACTTCAGCTATATATTCCTAACGCTTGTCTTTTCATACGGAATATAACTTGAAACAGTAACCCTCTACCTTGAGTGGCTTTTGAACCTTGTATTTGTTTAATATAAATAAATAAGAAGGTTGCCCATAAGTGAATATAACGAACCCGGCTGTGACTGGAATTTGGCCCAACGATTAACAATTCCGATCCATTATAAATTGGACACATACTCAAGCTGACAGAACCTAGTGTTCCCAAGCGCTCACCCATATAGATATTGACCAGGCTTGGCGACACTTAACTTTAGTGATCGTACGGTGCTTCCCCGCTATATGGTCCCCAGCGTGGGTCTCGAGTAAACCGGAAAATCAATAAAGGTAATGAGAACTGAAGACTAGAACAGAGACACATGCGCGCGCATGCAGGCACACACGCACACACGTATGCAAGCACATAAAGTAAACAATTCATTTTTTATTTATTATTCCACTAGATTTTTTTATTACTTAAACGTTATTATTAATGGATACTGGTACAGTTTAACCCGGATATAAGATATAAGATATAAGATATAAGATATAAGATATAAGATATAAAGATATGTTGTCGGGACCGGAGAAGAAGTTATCTTATATCTACTCAAATATAAGTATCCACAAAAAATAACGTTTAAGATATATATATATATATATATATTCGACTCTCCCGTCTTATCCGACGTATGAGGGTCAAGCAGCTCAGTTCCTAGGAACCGACAACCAGACACCAGCACGTGATTTGACTATACTGCTGAAGGCTTTGTGCAGAACCATCCACACTTTTTGAAGGGCAGAATACAGAGAGACCTGTGCATATATATATATATATATATATATATATATATATATATATATATATATATATATATAAAGTTTTTGTAGTACAAAATTTAAGGATAGCTAGGAATAAGCATAATTTATATGGCATTTTAATGTATATTTTAAAAGCTAAAAAAAAACAAAAAACAACCGGTTTCGTTCCAGTCTTATCAAGTATATTTCTAGGATATAAAAACTATAAACGTGTAAATTTAATTGATATTAATGATAACCAATGGAGGGAGAAAAAAATTATGAATCTCAAGAAAGCTAGAGTCCAATAACATTCAGTCCCAGTAAGCATTCCCTATGTTTACAGAGGGAAGGCCCACGGATTTGATATACAAGGTCTCTAGAACCTTGAGGTGTTATAAGGAATGGGACCTCAATAAAATCGAAAAACAGTCCACCCTAAAATCAAAGTCACAATTCCTACTATTTATAACATGCTCTCTCTAAATGGTATATCATAAATGTTTTGACATTGATGCGGGGTCGTACTTTTTATATAAAAATGTATTGCTGGCATTTTTATTATAAAAATGTATTTTATACTTTCATTGATTTTTTTTATTTGGGAGGAGTCACTATTTGCCCATAGCTGGGACCCTAAAAGGTGTTCCCACCCCCCGCAATGGTGGGAACAACAGCAATTAATGAGGGTTCCACGCTCCTTAAAACCTCTAATCTCCCGATCAAATGCCTTGCTGCCGAATGTAGTTTATCGTCATAACCAGGACTTATGAAGATGTTAAGTTCATAGGGACTGAGGAATCATTCCTCTGAAGTATATTCCGCAAATAGTGGTTTGGGGGAAGACGTTGTCTGAATGCAACTTCTTATTCACTAATATGGAAGGAATGCTGATGATTCGTCACAGTGTAAGAGGCATGGTGGGTTCAAGTTTTGAATGTTTGAACTGGTGGAACTAATGTGTATATCTCATCAAAATATTAGCTGTGAGAGAATTACGATAGGCTGACGATCTTTCACCTGTGGGAAAAGTGTTGTAGTGTATAAAATAATTCATCATCCACAAGGCATTTGAACTCTAAGGCTGGAAATTTCTAGAGATGATTACGGTTCTCCAAAGCTCGTAGGAGCTAGGTCATCTCAACTTAGCAGGTAAGTGCTGGAAATATTCTATTATTTCATCACTGACTCTACTCGATATCTGGTGTATACATGTGTGTAAATTGCTCTCTTTCTCTCGAGTAGTTTGTAACACTCTATTTATCATCTGTCTTTGGGCAGAGTGCGCTCAGGGACAACCTTCAATCTAGGCTCAACCGTTATCTTCCACACATATCCCTAAATACTGTATCTGTAGAGGCTCTTGGGCCTTGTACAAAGTGAACATCACTGTAAAAAAAATATCACTTTTATTACTGGGAAAAATCTAGCCTTTGACAGACATATGGAAAATTTGAGACATTAAGATAATATTTGTGCTTATTATTGTAGAAGGTTTGGAACATTCCCAAACAGCTTTGACAGAAAGATTTCTAGAAGAATCGTGAATATTCCGAGGACAGCATCCCCTCAACTTCCCCCAAACACTAAAGAGAACAAATACATTACTGAAATGAGTACATGAGTACTGAAGTTACTTGCTGCCATTTGATCTATAGTGGAGGGTATCAGTTAATGCAAGTACAAATCATCATGGCTTGATTTCTCATATACCTAACTGGGAAGGTTTTCCAATTCAGTTACAGACTTTAAGGCAGTTATTAATTTCAATACACCTGGATCATGTCGATTGCAGGAGAATATCTAGCAGTCAGTAGAGCCTTTCGTTTTGCAAAATAGCAATAACCGTATAACATACATGCCGAGAAATTCGTATTTCCACAGACTATAATTTCGATTACTGTTTTACAAGCCGTTCTCAATTTTGAGCCGTCCTTGGTATGACGTTAAACTACATTCACATCCTGGGTAAGACGATAAACTACACTCAATAGCAACGCCTCTGCTCAGGAGATTTTGAGGAGCTTAGAAACACCTCTTAATTGCTGGTGTTCCCAGGTCCCCCCTTGAGCCTGGGTGGTAGCACCTGTTAGAGTCCCAGCTATGGGCAAATAGTTAACCCCCAAACTCGGGTCAAAACACTATGAAAGTGTATAAATAGGTTTTAATACCAGAAATACTCTGTATAAAAAATTATTACCAGCAATACATTTTTTGAAAAAAATATTACCAGCGAAGGAAAATTCTTACCAGAAATAGATTTTTAGAAATAAATATTACCAACAATGAAAATTATTACCAGCAATACATATTTGGAAAACAAATATTACTAGCAATACATTTTTGAAAAACAAATATTACCAGCAATACATTTTTAAAAAACAAATATTACCAGCAATATATTTTTAAAAAATATTATCAGCGAAGGAAAATTCTTACGACATTTTGAAGGAAAAAATATCTCCAGAAATAGATTTTTAGAAAAAAAATATTACCAAAAATTAAAATTTTGTTGGCATTAAATAACACATTGAGGCTGATATGCCGTAAAACGAAACAAACCAAACCAAACCAAACCAAACCAAACCAAACTCAATTTTGAGCTTTAGTGCAACATAATTTTCTTACGTTTATTTTACCTTATTTGACTTTTATGACATAGTAAGCTAAATTAAATAATTGTTAAATGGTGGCAATGAAAATGAAAATAATTTTCTTCTTCAGGAATAAATAAATTTGGCTTACGGCCAAATCACGTTAAAACACCGATTTTTGTATGATCTCCGAAACTAAGCAACGTTGTCCCGAGTTGGTACCTAGATAGTTGATCGCTTGGGAATAACAGGTTCTGTAAGTTTAGAAATACGGGTAGTGTAATGGATAATGGCTTGGGATTTTGAATCGGAGAGCTGAGTTCCAATTCCCGTTAAGTTCTTTATATTCACTTACGCACAGATACCCCTAGGAAATGTATGAATCCATTTCTTCTCACCCTAGCTATGGGTTAATTAGCAAAACTTGCATCACTAAATAATTATTATCTAAAAACATTCTCACAGTCTAAAAATAGATTATCTAACCTGGCTTTAAATAACGTGCAAAGGGTTGAAAAGCTGCAGAAAATGAATCAATCAAAATAAATGAATTTGTAAACAACTCAAAGGATTTTAAAAATCATCCCCCTATAGCTCGTCGAGTAGGGGTCATAATATTTTAGCCGTCAAGTAGGAAAAAAGTAAAAATAAGGGCTCTTCACTTCTATTCAGTTTTTCTTTAACAACTAACACACTGTGTGCTTTTTCCGGACACTTCACCTTGAGCGTGTGCTTCTTATGAGAAAATTGTTAAGTCGAAACGCTGATTTTTATTGAATGATAAAAAGAAAGTAAGACCGACGGAAAGAAAGAAAGAAAGAAA